CTTGTCGTAGGGTCTGTATAAATTCTTTCTACTCCCCTGTTTGTTGTAAACAAATTCTGTAGACGCTCTGTTATTGCCCATGTTAGGCTACCACTTGAGGCCGGAGGCCATTTTGTGTTGGATTGTAGTTTGTAAAAGCATGCTGGCAGTTGGGTTGTACATTGATGTGAATTATTGCAGGTCGTTTATTGTTGGTTTGGGCATTTTACAGGGGAGACTCTGCCAAAATTTTGGTAGGATGTCTTGGACTTTTAGTAAATGGGCCCGGCATCAGTGTGATGTCAGCACCAAGACGGGGTCCGCCCCGGTTTCGGGGGAAATTCCGGGGCGGGTCCTGTCAGGTCTGATGGTGTTGTTGACGACGACCTCGAGGAAATGGGTTTGAGGCGTGAGGAGGTAAGAGGGAGTTGGTCTGATAATTATATCCCTTATAAATATGATGGCTTTAATATATCTACGATATATCTATAATAGGTAAAATACAAGTTATATTATTGCATAATAGTAAATTATTAGGTAAATTATATCCAAAATGTGTTTATAAAATTTGAGTATATTATTTGAATAATAAGTACATTTATACTAGGTATATTATTTTTCGTAAAAGAAGTAATAAATACGTTATTTTTTCAACATAAAAATGTATGTATGCTATTATATTTATAAAATAATAAAATAATACATAATTAATCACGTATATTTCATAAATAAATTAAAAATAATATTTTCTTATTAAACAAACCGATTAGGTATGTTAAATATGAATTTATTGTTAAATTTAAAAAAGCTTCCAAATTAATTTGTACATTTATTTGGAGATTTTTACTAATTCAACGTGTGTCATTAATTACAACCCAATTAAAATTTGTTTATATAATGGTTCATACATTAATATACAAACTGCAATAATAGCTTAGTTTGGGGTATTTTAAGGAATCGAAAAAGTACAATAAATTCGATTTTACACTTGATTAGGTAACTTGCCGAGTTGGATCCTAGTCATCGGGTTTTATTTAAAAAAACAGAATTTTATTCAAACAAAAATAAAGAGATGAGTTGTAGTTGAAGAAATATGACTTTCAAAGGGTTAAGCTAAATTTACTATTTATTAAAATAGCAAGACATGCATACATGAATCTTACCCTGAAACAAAACAAAATAATAAAAAAAACAAATTTTCCAGGAACCAACTTTTCCAAATGAGGAACAATTGTTTTGTTAATTAATAGTTTATCAGCACGGGTGGTGACGGTGGTGTCGAGGGGGGAATTGAATATGATCGGCTTCATCACAATGAGAGGGGGGGGAGGGGGGGGGGGGGGGGGGGGGGGGGGGGGAGGAGGAAAAGGTTTGAAACGGTGTAGTTACAGTAACCAATTATAGGAGCCCCCCATGTCAGGCCATTTATTTGAATTGTTGGTTTCTTGGTAAAACTGTGGTGAGATTTAATTGGAGGACATATCAAGGCAATTACTTGATCTTTTCCTCATGATATATATGGAGTAGAAGAGAACAATCGATCAAATATATGGATTCCCCTTCGCTACAACGTTTACTTATGATCCATCTAGAACTCATCAATAAAGAGAGGGAGAAAAAAAAAAAAAAAACTTTTGTTTACGATGAGAAAAGAAACAAAAAATGTAATTAGAAAAAATTTAAAAGTTCTAAGGCAATTTGTCAAAGAGACATCCATTGTTGCATCCCTTAATACGCAAATGTATCACAAATTCCACAACCATGTTTTGTGTTACGTATATATATTCTAGTCTTTTGAAATTTACATTTTAATTTGTATGGCTGTGTTCTTAATTATATTGTTTTGGCCTCCATCTCTCTTTTTCATAACTGCACTCCACATTGCAAGTATCGTTTTTGGAATACCAACATCACAAATTATAATTGATTGACATAATGGCTAATTAAAAGCCAATTAAGATATATAATCATACTCTGGTGGTGAAGGGCGTCGTGCTAGCGGCGGTGGCTACGGCGACAGTTACTCTGGTGAAGGACGTCGTACCGGCGGCGGCGGCTATGGAGACAGCACTGATTACTCTGGTGAAGGACGTCGTACCGGTGGGGGCGGCGGTGGTTACGGAGACAGTTACTCTAGCGAAGGACGTACTGGACATGTCGGTGGCGGAGACAGTTACTCGGAAGAAGGACACGGCGGCCGTGGCGAGACCACTGCTTACTCTTCTGATGAGCCCTACGGCGGACGGTACAGCGAGACATCTGAAACCTATGGGTCTAGTGACTCTGGAGACTACAAGAAGCAGGAGAAGCACCACAAACATCTCGAGGAACTTGGGGAGCTAGGTTCTGCTGCTGCTGGCACTTATGCATTGGTAGATTAATGTTTCAACCCTATTTTTCTGATTTAATTTATTATTTTAATTAGGCATACTAATTGTGGATTTATGATCATTCTCAAAGGCATATTATTGCATGATTTGTGATCGATCTTGTTGCGAAGAATTTTTTAGTATGATGGATAAGTATACATCACCTATTTTATGATAATCAATCATCTAAATAATATGTATATACACTCGTTACATCTAAAAATTTCTCGTAAAAAAAATACATACTTCCCGTTCACTTATATAGAACATAACTGAAGAAGTGGGAGATTAATTAGGCTAAGTTTTATCCAGATCTTATTGACAAATTATATAATTGCCAATCTTTCTTTGTTTAAGTATAATGATTATGTAGTTATAAGGCCAAATCTTGTTTTGGTTACAACTTAAAACGGACCAAATCAAACTCCTGGACCATCATAATTTCCATTTTTGTTTAAGTATAATGATTATGAAAATATAAAAGGAGAAACTTTGGCCCAAATCGAACTATAGGATATATCACATATATAATTTTGAAAGATAATGTTGAGCTTGGATATATATATAAAAGGAGAAACTTTGACCCTAAAGTTGTTTCTTTTTTTGGGCAGTATGAGAAGCACGAGGCAAAGAAAGACCCAGAGCATGCTCGCAGGCACAGGATAGAGGAGGAGATTGGGGCAACAGGGGCAGTTGGTTCGGGTGGGTATGCCTTCCACGAGCATCATGAGGAGAAAGAGTCAGAGAGAGAAGAGGAAGAGTCTCATGGAAAGAAGCAACACCACCTCTTCTAAATAATCTCAATTAATCAATATCGATCTTTATTGATTACCTATTTAAGTGGTTTATTTGTATGCATCCCTTTAATTATTTGTGTGATGTTTAATTATGATGAATGCTCAGTATTTTGTTTCTGAGAATTGATGCATGTTGAGTGTATAAGTAAGACTCTTTGTTTAAAGGGTACTGTATATATCCTGTTTTCTTTTAGCATGTCATGTATTTAATTGTTAATCGTTTACTCGGTGTAACTTTTATATAATTTTTTAGTGGTATTAATTTTTTTTCTTTTATACAAGCAATATTGAGCAAGCGGGGAATCAAACCTAGGACCTATGCAGGGGTAATTACTCTTAACTACTTAAGCTATAAACCACTTGTGTATAAATCTTAGCCAGACTTAATTAACAACTCAATATATGGATAAGAATATAGAGTTGAGAAAATATGCAGACGAAAATCATATTGTTGATTTTTTGTTGAATCCCCTTTACCTTGTTGTAACTAAGTGAAAAATATGGTGCTTTGCATATAGAATTCGATAGAAACTGATTATTCTAATCATTCAGTCTTAAATAGTAATACATTCATAAAGGTGAGACCAATTAAGCCATTAAAACACTGCGAATGATTCACGCTAAAACATAATTAAGATCATGAACAAAATAGACCCTACTAGTTAAGTAACTAACATGGCTAGAGACCTCATGTGCGTTACATTTATTGATTGAATATCTCAAATTCTTCAAGGGACTAACTTCTCTGAACCAGGAACAACTTTCACATTAGTAGGATCATGACTTGA